AGACTTTGGATTTCCATTCATTCATTGTTGTACTTTTCTCCCTACGCAGCCTCCCCTCCAATTTGCTCTTTGAAGGGTAAAAGAAAAATTCTTTCATTGTTATACAATCCCTTTCCCCAAGCCCACCCGACGGTGCAGCCTTCATTTTGGACTCCTTTCATGACAATAATACCTAATTATATATCCCTTTTAAACAGTTCTCTCCCTCATCTATTTCAAGGCAGTGTGCATTATTTATCCCCTCTTTCTCAATCTTCCCTCAACTCCAATGTCAGTCCCATTTTACAACAGTGGCACTATGCAGTATTTGTGCTTTTGTGACTGAGATAGTTCACTCAGCATCATGTCCTCCAGGGTCACTCATTTTGTATAATATTTCATTTCATGAGTTCCTTGTTTTTCAATGCAGCATAATATTCCATTGTGTGAACATACCAGAGCTTCTCTATCCATTTGTTTATTGATGGGCACCTGGGTTGTTTCCAACTCTTTGCTATTGTGAACAAAGCCGTGATGAACATGGGTGTGCATATATCCACCTGGGTGGCGGTTATGGTTTCTTTAGGGTATATTCCCAGTAGTGGAATTGCTGGGTCAAATGGTATTTCTATTTGCAACTTTCTGAGAAAGAGCCATACAGCCTTCCATAGTGGTTGCACTATTTTACACTCCCACCAACAGTGAATATTGGTTTCAGTTTCTCCGCAATCTCGCCAGTATTTGATGTTTGCCGTTCTGTCAAATTTTGCTATTCTTACTGGGGTGAGATGATATAGTTGTTTGGTAATTTTTTTTTAAAGATGTCTTAGTCAGTATGTCTTCCTATTTGAAAATTTATTGCTTTAGTTAAAAGTAAATGTAATTTAACTTTAATTGTTAATTTCACCATGTCTTTGTTGTGCATTCACCCTTAAACAAAGTCAATTCAGAAAGTTGCTTTCAGAGGATTATGGTTTCCTAACAGATAATATGCTGGGAAACACTGTTTTTCTATTTTCAAAAAATTTCAATTTTAAACAGCCCCTCCTACTTTATATTCAAGTATTGTGAATCATTTTATATCTGCACTTTGGGGGTTTTGTTTTGTTTTCCAGAAAGCTTGCTTTTGATAAAGATGTACGGTTTTTAAAAAAATGCATGGATTCAAAATATTTGGGCTAAATATTTTATAAAGGAAGGATATATAATTTAAAAATCAGTAGAATTGTAAGTTTAAAAAGATAGCTCATTGCCCCAAGAATCCATCAACTAGTTACATTTGACAACTGGAAACTGTGGGGGTTTTTTTCTGACTTTAAAATGTTTATTCTTTAAAAAATTAGCTGCTTTTTTGGAAACTGTCTTAAGTTCTTCTGAACTCAAATGAACTCAATCTCTTTCCAGTCAATTCCAATTCCTAAATTCTATATTTTCCAATTTATATTTCATTTAAAAAAAGGGGAAAATAACATCATATGATATCTAGACATTCATTTTACAGACTATATTTGCAGATAGAAAAACTTCCTTTAGTTCACTAGTACAGAAACATGATGGAGACAAAAGTAACATTTCCGAAGAGTCACATCAATTGTTCTGATAAATTTTTGTTCTTGACTCATACAGATAATATCGTCCATATAAAAATTAAAGCATTTAAAATTACATGCTTTATTTTTTTATTTTATCTGAGTGGAAGTTTACAAATACATTGTTTTCATTCATGGACAT